ATCATATCACAACGAGCCATTTTAAATCAGAAGGCCGCATATATATATACACATGCACCCATGTCACGGAAATCATTTCAAATAAAAGTCTGCATATACATAGACACATTACCCATATCATATCAAACGAGCCACTTTAAATCAGTAGGCCGCATATACATACACACATGCACCCATATCAAAGGAACCACATACACAAAGATACACATGCACCCATACACACCTCATTTCGCTGCCCATTTTCCTCAGGGGCAGCTTGCACTCCTGGATAAACTCCAGGTTAATCACCGCGCTGATCTTGTACTTGCACATGTCCTCTACATCCACCAGCACACGAGTCTCGTCAAAGACGTGCGGGTGTGTGGTTAGTGTGCACTGGCCAAGGGTGATGTCTTTGATAGTGCGTTGGTCGTATAAGGGCCAGGTGTACAGACCTATTCGCACTTGCTGTGGGGATGTATATAGCATGGTGGATGTTCTGGTTATGTGTGTACATTTTTTGTGTGGATAGTCTTGACATCTTATGATGATATGTTGGTATCGCATATGACTGCTATGGCACGTGTGCTTGGGACAATAGATATCTTATAGGACGGCATGATATATACGACTCGTAGAGAAGCCGAGCGTGCAACACAAAACAGACTACAACACACACTACAATACAAACTACACCACACACTCCAACACACACTACATCACACACTACATCACATCCTACATCACATACTACATAGTTGTTTCTGATGATACATGTATACACATACACACGCAGCCTAACTACTCGCATATGTACACACGAATATATGTGTAAACGTAGGAACACAAGTACATGTATGCATATATCTGCAGATACTATGTACACATATAAGATGAAGTAATGGCCAGTTTATTGTGGTCTACACACACGTCTTTGAGTCGCAAATACGTACCTCATCCCCCACCATTTCGGGTGCCAGATTGTCGAAGTAAATGACGGTATCGTTCAGGGGCGCTTGGAATGTGCAGTAGTGTTCCTATTACCAAACGAACAAACGATCGGTGAGGTCAGTACACAAACATGGGAGTATGCCAACCATTGCAAACATGCAGAGTATCGGTTAACAACAGCATCTTCATTTTGGTTGTCAAGTAGGCTGTGGCGAGCTCAAGGATACTGTGACGTGTACGACGCCGGAATCAAACTAGCGTAGTGGGAGGAAGCAATCGGGAAGTGACATACCAGAGCTTCAAACCAGGGACAATTAATTGGTACTATGAGAGAGTATACGAGACACCCATGTGCCTTGAAACCCGAACAAAAAAGGTATGTAGGCACCCGAGCCGAAAACTGAACTATGGTCCTCATTAGACCTCATTTATGCTGACACATGGGGTTCCAAGATATATTCTACAAATTAGGTTATATCTTTCTAATTCTATCGGCTCTATAGCTCGCATCTTCGCTTGCTAATGTCGCGCATAAGCAATCAAGCCAACTCAAACATATCAGCATATCACCACGCTGAGGCAAAGTACATAGAGATGTGGGTTCAGATATATACGAACGCCACCGACACTGCAAATTTCACCATGCCACACCCTACACCTCGCAGAAGAAGCACACCACCACGTGTGTAGCACACACGCGTGCCCCTTATCTATGTCTGTCAAACAGGGCGGAGTGAAACCACACTTTCCACAACAAGCACACCCGCAAGTCATGAGGTTGTCATAGCACATACCAGCACCCATGCCACACACAGCTACGAGCACGCATAATCAGTCCTTCGGGTGCACACACATACACACATAGGTGTATATACATCCTAATGCACACCTTCCCACAACACCGACACCTACGTACCTGACTGGCCCCCTCGGAGCGTAGAGACACTCCATGGTCGAAGACTACACGCTCCCGCACATCGAACTCAATGCCTTTAGCGCCGTCTGTGAATACCAACTCGGTAGGCATGTTCGCGTCACTGGAGCCGACGATCATCAGATCACTGATACACAGGTATGCGGCATGCATGAGCACACATGACTCAAGACACCTCAGCCCAGTGGTACGGACGTGTGTTGTGTGGTAAACTAGCGCTCTTCAACAACACCATTAAATCTTTGTCATATGAATCGCTGTTATATAGGTGTGTGGCTTACAACAGAACTCGAGTTTACGACCATCACTTGACTAATACATCTTTGAGAAGGCATGTGCTGTAGAGTGACAGGTGCTCCCACTGGTTTTATGGTTTTATGTGTGCGAGTGACAAGATACGAAAGTGTGTATAGCACAAGACATAATCAGGAATACGGAACAGATACGTGAGTGAGGATAGCCCACATCGTATTGATGGATGCAAACGTATTGGAATGGAAATGTATGTGAAATAATCGTCATAATTTAGACATGTATGTATGTGTGTCCGATATATACAAATAGAAGTATACAACCAGTATCGAATACGAACTACTTGGCTACCCAGACCATCTGTTGGATATAGCTCGTTCATAAACCTAACCCTTGGAGACCAGATGACACCGCTTAACTTTGATACAGAACATATTGAGTATACTAAGACATTCCATACATAGAAACAGATAACCCCACTATTAATATGGTGCGCTGTACATAGTGAGGTAGGACGTGTGTACATGTTTCCAGCAAGTGTAATTGAAAGTACAAGCTTGACAACCCTATCTCTACAGGATGAAGAGATATCAAACACATTGTTTACAATCACTATCAAAGTTTACAAAACCGAGTCACTGCTCTATGCAAATACCAATACAACGATAACCATGC